ACATCAACCTGGACATTCAGGAGAAGGTGAGCACCCACAGAGACAATTGGGGAAGCCAGCAGTATAAATCTATGGCTGCCACCTGAATTGCTGTAACTACTCTCTCATAATACAGAGAACAGGACGGTCAGCTCTCCACTTCTCTGCTGAGAGAGGAAACGCAGCTACCACAGAAGCACTGCTCAAGGCAGGAGCTAATCCTCACCTCAAAGACAAGGTTTGGGAATCTACAACAACCCTTACTTTCTCCTCCATGAGCCCACCTAGTCCATTTTAGTTTCACGGCATGGTTAAGGTGCTTTTATTTTATTGGTCTCTCTTTTCTCTATTGGTGAAGAATGGGTAACAGCAATGGAGATTACTAAACAACGAGCTCAACTGGCCTTGTGTCCAAGACATTGCAGTGAGAGAGATGATGACTCAACCCAGCCATTATGCTAGTCAGGTATGCTATAGCAAAACTTATCAGAGTGCTACATGTCTCATAGAGCCAAATTTCCTGATTTCCAGGGCTCAGGTAAACACATATAGCTATATAATGACAAGGAGACGCCATCGAGACAGAAAGCATTGCAAAAGCTTGCACACTAATAGGGGTACTCCACCTCATGCCACGTATTTACTGCAGTGTAACCCATTATACAGGTGTTCGTTGCTGAAGTGAGGAAATTTGAAATATAGCTGATCGAAACACGTACATAAATGGCATGGAGATGACACTGTTGATTAGCCATAAGACAGTTTGAATTATGTGGGTTACACTGTATCTTTTCCCCATGCAGCGTGCTGTGAGACATCTCAAGTCGGAGAGCAAAGATCTTGAAGGAGATGATACTAGTTCCATGCTCAAACTAGAGGGACAAGAGCTCGAGTCTGAGGGAAAATCCCACAGCAGGACAGCAGTCTCAAGTCAGAAAGAAAATGACACCAGAGATGGACCCTGAACATAGTCCAGACTTTGATTTGTAAAGTTAGTGTACCTGTTCTGAGGGATAATGTCATGTGTTTATCCAATAAACATGTTTGAGCTCTCGTAAAGTATAATTATCTACAGAGAAGACACAGCTCCTGTATCAAATTATTATTATTACACACAATCGTAACAACTATAGAGAGTCAATGGAGGTCCTACAGAAAGGGACAGTGTCCTTTGCACAGTCCCTGTAGCTCATAGTCATCAGCCAAGAACATCTGCAGCAATCAGTTAAACATCAACTAGAAAGAGGTAATGTATTCCCCATAGTGCACAGATTGCACATAATACTCTGAAGTGAAGATCGCCACCGAGTGAGCCTGGATTAGATGTTGTAGACGTGTACATGTATTGCAAATGCACCATTTTCCGATCGCATAGTAACTGTCCTCATGCACGGTATTATGTCCAATCCATGGAGATATGTGAGCTGCAGCTGACCTTATTACAGGAGCCACAGAGGGAGATGGGGAAGTCGGGCATGACCGAGCGGTAATACTGGTTTCCAATTGGAGCCCCCCACTCCTTGACCATGACCTCTGACCTGTGTAGTCTGGTGAGTACTGACCGACCGACCTCCACTGGTTGAAACTCACTGCCACCCTGTGCCAGATGCAACACAGTAATATAGTGACTAAAATACTTGAAGCAAAACCAAACTGCATTACGGGCCTATATGCGCAACTGACTGGCCTACTGCACTAGCATAAAGTGATTGCACATCTATTGGTAAGATACCTCAGTATTAGTGGAAGTGAAAGGGTCGTTCTCATCATCTAACTGATCATCTGGTGGTCCAGACAGTACTAGAGTCTGGGTAGCTGTATACATACTGTCATGCAGGAACATAACCTGCACAAAGACACAGTCCACACAGCACACTAAACCCCTACAGTACACTGGATGGATGGATACTGCCTTCATCTGTGATAACTGGGCCACTGGTCTTCTTCTGTGGAGGCTCCATTTGTATCAGTCTCACTGCCTCTTCATCACTGCAGACAAACACATTTTTAGTTACAGCTATTGCTAAGCAGACAGATGCGCATCAAATTTGACTAGGGCTTTTTTAGGTAAGGTGTTGTACCTGACCTGATTCCTTCCTCATAGCACAAACTCCACCACTGAGAAGGCTCTGGTATAAGGGAAGAGAACATCATAGAGTAAGGGTTGATCTCTGCTCAAGAACTAACCAAAGGAGACGAAGGAGAACTCGAGAGGTTGTCTACACGAGGTGCAGGCATTTCCAGTCTGTCTCAGTAGAGAGTTGGTAGTGGAGCAGCGATAGCACATGGGGAGAAGGTCCTGTGGACAAATGCACAAACAAGTCTTACAGCAAAGTCCTCTAATATGTACCACCAACACCACCAATAAAAGTGGCACACATTTTAGCTACACAACAATGCATGGTTGGCCCAGTTGGTAGGTAGATAGCTAGTTGAGGTTGAGTAAGCTATGTGTATGCAGCTTACCTCCTTGTCCTGGAATGGTTTGGATCTGATGGTGAGACTCATTCTGTCCACAGACTCCTGGAGACTGGCTGGCACTCTAAGGGACTGAGTACCATTACATAATGCCTGGATCTCCAAAAGACTTTTTAAAAAGTCAACAGCAGTGTGTAGCTCTACCTGCATCTTCTCCAGAGCATGTCTGGCTAGTCTGAAGGCCCCAGTCTGTCTGTGAGTCCCCCTCCTCACCACCCACACTGCTGTCTCTGGCTCTCTCTTGTACTGACTCACCTTGTGAGACAAAAAATCCATTTGAAGTCAGGTTAAATTGCATGCAAGAAACTGCAACAGATTACTGGAATGACACATACATAACACAATTACAATGTGGGAAACACACTAGCTTCTTCTAATCGAAATCTATCCACTAATGTTGACTAAAGCTGCATCAAAACACACCTCCACCAGTGTCAGTGGTGACATTGGCAGCAGTGGGGCGACAAGACGACCTCTCGCGACCCCTGACTTGCCGACCGGTGGCCCCGCCCACCATCACCACCCACGGAGCGCTTGGCTAGACCGTGTATCTGGTTGGCCATTGTCTCCATGATCTCCTGCAACCTCAGTCTCAGGTCGCGCTCGCTCTGCATGTCCTCCGCCATCTCTTCTCCACACTCCGGGCCTGCTGTAGGTAGCCCTCTGAGGCCTGGGGTCCAGGGGAAACAACAGATAATCTCACTGATACACAGGGATCTAAACCACAACACTTATTCCTACTGCACAATGTGCAGAGTAGCTCTGGTATAGTGATGTGGTAAAGCTGAGGCCAGAGCAAGACCCTGCCTCTATGTATTAGAGATTGTGTTTACAGTGACGCAAAAGTTATCCCCTTCATAACTGTGACACTAAAATATAAGGTACAGTAACTCTCCTCTGACAGTGTGTGCATGTAGTCTGCCATGTACCTTGACCATGGCGTCAGCGGTGAGACGGAATAGACTGAGGTTTTCCTTCAGAGTTGGGTCCAGATGAACCTCCTCATTATATCCTTCCACCTCTGTCGCGATCGCTTCAGTAGCACCCTACTACAGTTGTACATATGAATACAGGAGAGAAAATTAGTTCTTAAATGTTTACTGTGATTTGCTTAGGAAGCGAGAACAGCCACATTGGACTTGTGTGAAAACTTAAGCGATTTAATACTGTCAAGTGCACGATGAACACTAAGATGGAAGCAAAGAGAGAGATAGGAGAGAAGGCGGGAAAGGAATAAGAGAGGGTATAGGGAAGATAAAAGTAGCAATTTGAATCACCTGTTCATGACGATACATCATGGGTTGATTCATCTCTTCATTTTTCTAAGTTGTGTATCCCTCGTCTATCCCTCCTTCTCCTCATCCCGTCTCTCTCACACCACCATCTCCCCTCTCCATCACCTCTGGGCAAGAAGAGGAAACACACCTTGTTTTAATAGCATGCATAATGGTACAAATGAATGATCACAGAAAGGTGGGATATTAGTTGTGCATTTTATTTCAAGCTTGAATGAAATTCCTGTCAATTTTCTCCCAAAATGTGTTTGTCAACTTGCCGATATCAAAGGACCTACACACTTTTCTTTCATCTATTATTTCTTAATTATGCCAGTGTGACTGGCATGTGTATGTGGCTAGTTGGTGAGTGTTGAATAATATACCGTTTTTTCCAGGTCTTGACAGCATGGCTTTGGCGAGAGTGAGAGCAGTCCACCATCCTGTCTCTCCACCTCACTACTAGCACGGAAATAGTACACTGCACGTCATGATACACACATGAATCATTGCACTGAGTGTATGCATCACTGGCCTGCAGATCGTACATGCATTTTGCTCAGTAAAGAGTGCAAGCAAGTACAAGTGGAGAATGACCGCTCTGTGTTTATGAGTAACTAGAGAGCAATGTGCAGGAAAATGGCGTTAAAGGCAACTAGAAGATTTAATGAGGCAAAGCATGTGCCAAGTATGTGACATTATTTTCACATACCAAGCCTGTTTGTACAAGCATCAGTGGATCTCGTTATATCATATTCAAGTGGTTTTACCTGAGGTCCATTGGTGATGACAAAGTTGGTGGAGTCAATGTCGTCAATGAAGGCTGCGGTCAAGTTGACTGTACCTCTGCATGTGTGGGCCATCTCCTCCTGGGCCCTGGGTTTACATACATTGGTGAGGTGAGGGAAGGGCAAACATGCATTAAATAAACAGAATATGAAACACAGAGAATACATTTTACATCGGAGCTGTCTAATTTACAGTTCAAAAGGCCCAAATAGGCTACTGCATCCAGAAAGCTTGTGTGAGTCACCTGTAGTAGGAGAGGAGTCCATTGGAGAGGACGAACCATCTCTTCTGGTAGCCCTTGATGTAGTTGGTCCACTTTAGCAGCCAGCCTCGAAAGTGCTCTGGATACGCCATGCAGAGTCTAGTGTGTCGATCAGGTCAAAGTCCGAGTAGGCGTGGCTCTTTTGTTTGTTTACGAGACCCGCCCCACGTTGAAAGATGGCCATGGCCGACTACGGCGAGCCCCCGGAGATCACATCGCTTCGTACGAATCTCACTTACATCACTGACACGGTGACGGTCCGGGACAATCTACAGTGGTTTTCAAACTGCCTCGTGGAGAAAGCCTTCATGCCCAGAGGGCCGCGCAGGCAATCCTCGGCGGCGGAGCCACGCCCGCTACAAGGCCGGGTCAGCTTATTGACGGGGTTTTCGCTGTAATCCGAACGTCGGACAGGAAGAGCCACTGGTTTGCTGAGTTCGTATCTATTTTCTCCACCGACCGAGCCTACGCAGAACTAGTCGAGAAACTGAAACGCCACGTCGTCCAAACAGACCAGCAACAACTACAATCTCCCATTCCAGCCAGCCCTTCCGCTAGTTCATCTCTACACGTTCCTGCGTCTTCAGGCACCACACCAGCCATTAGTTCTGAGGAGTCTCCTGCCCCATCATCCACCACCACCACATCTTCTTCACCTCCCGTCCCACCTCCACCTGCTCCCCACAACCCTTCCACCCACTCCTTCTGGAGTCCGGAGAAGGTCAAGGCCACCATTCAGGAGCTGGAGGCAAAGTTCCTTGACCTCAATACTGACGCTGAGAAAGAAATTTGTGAAAAAGAGGCTCGAGACAAGAATTTTCTCAGAAAGTTTCGCAAATACCTTCAACTTCTTCCGGCTGCCAAGAAGGCACCTCATGTCAGGTTCTTCCGTGAATGTGAGCAGGAAATTCTCGGTGCCAAAGATGCTCAGGCAATTCTCGCCATTCTCTGTCGCTACATCGATTACCGCAACTACGGGATTCTGCGTGACATAGTCCTCAAGTTCTGTGGCCCTCCACTGCAGACCAGCATGCAGGACTACTGCAAGATGTTGGAGGTGTTTGAAACCTCTACATCAGTCGACGTGTACATCAGCACTGTTCCAGATGAGGTGACAGAAGACCAGAAGAAAGCATTCTCTGAAATGGTCGTGAAGATTGACAAGCCTGCGTCGCAGTGTACACTGCATGATGTTCGAAAGCTCAACGAAGCAATCATTGCAAATTCAGGTCTCTGTCCTCACAGTGTTTACATCAGTGGAGTGGCCAACAAGTGTGTGGAGGTGGTGGTGAGGTTTCCTCCCAGTGTGGTGGGCTGGGTACTGGCAGCTCTGACCCCCCACTTCATGACCACCCACCATCTGTCAGAGGTGACTCTGGATGGCAGCCAACTCTCCCTCCTACAAGACCTCAGATATGACCTGGTATGTAGATGTGTACTTACGTTAGAAGGGGGTTTTGTGATGAAATACCAAACAATACGTTGGACACTGATCGAGAGTTAGTTTTGGAAGCCTTCAAAATGAAAATTTGCGAGCATTTGAATGGTGTTAGCATTTATACAGTTTGGTAGGTAGTAAGCTACTGTGTGTGACAATTTGTCGAAGGCTTAGGTGAACCTTGGGCATGCAAGTGCAAGTGATACAGTTATGTGTGTTTTTAGCAGTAGCCCTGACATCGCTGCAGTGAAAGTTTTCAGCTAACGCTGACCCATCTCCATATGTTGTAAGAGAAGGTAGAACAAATAATATTAGTGCTGCTTTCTCCGCATGTGTATTTCCCAGTACACTTACACAAGTATGCAATTCCTTTTGGGTCCATGGTTTGTACATTAATGTTTCTCATTACGTTCATAGGGGAAAAGTTAGCACGTAAGCACTGGCATGTACTCAGAAAAATCTGCACATCTCGCTCCCGATCTCATGTTTGATAGGCTGAAAGGAATGTGTGATGAGTGTGTGAGTGAGAAGGAGAGGAAAAAAGGTAGAAAGAAATCAATCTGGGGGCATTCGAACCTTGCTTGCCGGACAAGTGCACTACCACTGTGCTATAGGAATGCCACAGATGGTAGGCAACGGAAATGGATACTCAGACTCCCAAGCGGGCTAATTCATAGTTCAAAAACACTGGCACAGATAGCTTTCTTTACCAGGTTACTTAGTACACTCATTATAGAGTTATTTTTTATCTACAGAATGATAAGCTGATTATTGCTGGTAGAGCAGGACAAGTGATGAGAGCTGCGTCCCTTCTCAACAGTGGAGCTGACATCCAGACTGAGGACTGGGTACGTATGTTACACTGAGAAGTTCACCTTCTCCATCTGTAATAGAAGATCTGTGCACTGTACATAGATACTAATCATGCAACCATCTAGCAAAGTTATTACATTTCACTAATTATCTAATTTGGCATTCTCTTGTGACACATGGTCATAGAAGTTTTCAGGTGTGTATCTTAGTCCAAAGTCACGCACAGAGCAGCAACCCACCTTTTATCAACTACGTGCCTCTTTCTTATGTCTTACTGTAAGCATGTTCAACCACAGCAAAAGAATAACAATGACATTAATTTTTGTTAGTTCCGCACATCATAATAGCTACTGCTGTCTTGGTTCTCGTTAGTTGTCACAGACTCCGTTGGACTGGGCCAGTCGGTATAGTCATCTCCAAGTGGTTCGTCTTCTGGTATCAAGAGGAGCTCAGCTTAACCACCAGGATCTGGTGAGACAGTTTCTGATGTCATTACATCATCGTGTTTGAACAGGTTGCATGAAAACGACAGTGGGTGAGAATATTTTGCCAGCATAATTTTGAGCATAATGGGCATTTCAATGCATCGAGCATAATGCCGGCATGTGCGCATGTGTGGGCGTCAATGTTTCAGTCGAAAATCAAAGATGTAAGGACAGGGTTATGAATGACTTTCTGTCTTGGTGTAGGCATCTTCTTGTTCCCTTCTTTTTCATGATGTGACATCCCTACATCCCCTTTCATTTCACAGAAATGATTTTTCCACTTGTATACTATGGGCAACACAGCAACAGTCACTGCTACTGGCATGTCCTTTTATCACACAGGCTGGGTGCTCAGCAGTGATGCTAGCAGCTTGGCATGGTCACACTAATGTTGTTGTGGAGCTGGTGAAAGCAGGAGCCAACTTGGACCTACAGTCTAATGTATGAAACTGTTAATTACTTTATAGTGTCATCACATGTTCTTTATCAGTATGGGAGCTCAGCACTAATGATGGCAGCCAGAGGTGGTCTTACTGACATTGTTGTGGAGCTGGTGAAAGCAGGAGCCAACTTGGACCTTCAGAATAATGTATGAAAACTTGCATTACTGAATGTACAAGATGTGTTCTGTATCACACAGGATGGTGACTCAGCAGTGATGCTAGCAGCGAGAGGTGGTCACACTGGTGTTGTTGTGGAGCTGGTAGAAGCGAAAGCCAATTATTACCTCCAGAATAATGTACGTTCCACTCCAACTATCACAAGATACTGTAGCACCTAAATGTGATTTCCCCCTTCTGTATAATATGACCTTCAACCTCAGTCACACATGTAACCCTACAAGACTATAGAATTAATGTGTGCCATATGTGGCACACTTCCTTATCAGGCAGTTGTCTGGGCTTTCCATCTTGACAACAATGCAAAAACTCTGGTAACACTGCAGGGAAGGGACAGTCACTATGTAAACCGCAACAGTTTTCCCTTGGCTGGCCCTCTGACCACATGGGGTAGCTATGTTGGTTGCCACACCATGTGGCACTCTGGGACAACTTTGCCTTGCCGTTCAGGCTCCCTTGACCATTGATTTCAAGTCATTTGCTGATTATACCTACCAATGACTAGCTGGTACTGGTATATTATGATTTTCACACAGGATGGGGACACTGCCTTGACTCTAGCAGCCAGTGGTGGTCACACTGATATTATGGAGCTGATTAAAGCAGGAGCCAATTTTGACCTACAGAATAATGTATGAAACTGTTTGTCTTATAATGTTATCATCATTAGCTTTGTCACATAGAGTGGGTTTTCAACACTGATGCTGGTAGCCAGAGGTGGTCACACTCATTTTGTTGTGGAGCTGGTGAAAGCAGGAGCCAACTTGGACCTACAGTCTAATGTATGAAACTGTTAATTACTTTATAGTGCCATCACATGTTCTTTATCAGTATGGGAGCTCAGCAGTAATGATGGCAGCCAGAGGTGGTCTTACTGACATTGTTGTGGAGCTGGTGAAAGCAGGAGCCAACTTGGACCTTCAGAATAATGTATGAAAACTTGCATTACTGAATGTACAAGATGTGTTCTGTATCACACAGGATGGTAACTCAGCAGGGATGCTAGCAGCGAGAGGTGGTCACACTGACATTGTTGTGGAGCTGGTGAAAGCAGGAGCAAAGTTGGACCTTCAGAATGATGTATGAAAACTTGCCTTACTGATGGTACAAGATGTGTTCTGTATCACACAGGATGGTGACTCAGCAGTGATGCTAGCAGCGAGAGGTGGTCACACTGGTGTTGTTGTGGAGCTGGTGGAAGCGAAAGCCAATTATTACCTCCAGAATAATGTACGTTCCACTCCAACTATCACAAGATACTGTAGCACCTAAATGTGATTTCCCCCTTCTGTATAATATGACCTTCAACCTCAGTCACACATGTAACCCTACCAGAATTAATGTGTGTCATATGTGGCACACTTCCTTATCAGGCAGTTGTCCTGTGCTTTCCATCTTGGTCTTGGAGAACAATGCAAAATGACGGTTGAAATCGACCTGGGCATGTACAACAGACCCAACGCTCGCACTGAGTACACGAGTTCAAACTCTCTCTAGTTGAAACTAGAGTCAAAATCCACTTGTGGGACCGAAGCTACTCTTGCCACTCCTCCACCTCTATGACTCTCTTTCTGATATTATATTCACACAGCCACTATTGTGCAATTACTTGCTACAAACATGTCCTTTTATCACCCAGGATGGTGACTCTGCCTTGACTCTAGCAGCCAGGTGTGGTCACACTGATACTGTCGTGAAACTGGTGAAAGCAGGAGCCAAGTTGGACCTTCAGCGAAATGTATGAAAAATTTTTTATGTGTCAGAGAGACATGTCAGTTGTCACACAGGATGGAGACTCAGCACTAATGATGGCAGCTGAAAATGGTCACACTGGTGTTGTTGTGGAGCTGGTAAAAGCAGGAGCCAACTTGGACCTACAGAATAAGGTGCGAAGCTACATTTAACCACTCCTATAGGTCGCACACTAGCATTATTGTAATGTTCTCATCCATTTCCTAATTTTATCCTTTTATCCTAAACATTTGAGGCTGCATATGCGGTCATGCATTACAAGTTATCCTTTGTTGTGTCCATAGATATAATAATTATGTGGAAGAACATCAGATCGGGGAGGGCTAGGACCTGGGCTCAAGCTGGTCTTGCTAGCAAGACCCACTCCAGCCAAAGCCTGTAACAGGGTGTCATTAGCATCCCCTTTGCACATTGCTTGTGTGCTGCTCCTTCCCTTTTTGAAACTTGAGTCAAAATCCACTTTCTGAAGCTACACTCACACCTCTCAGACCCTGTTTGTCATAATCTGCGGAAATCTATTCTCATCTCTCAACAGGATGGAGACACAGCAGTCATAATGGCTGTAAAGAGTCATGAACCAGCCACTCTCAGGGAGCTAGTGAGGGCAGGGAGTGACCTCAACCTCCAGAACAGTGTGAGATACACAGTTACTGTGGACACTGCACCACATATCATCCCCAGTCCTCCATATTAGGAGGGGCTCACTCCACTAATGATAGCTGCCAGGAGTGGGAGAACTGACATTACTAACATTCTACTGGAGGGAAAACACATCAACCTGGACATTCAGGAGAAGGTGAGATCCCCCAGAACAATGGGCGGTGCCAACTGTCTATGGTTGCCACCTGAGGTGCTGTAACTACTCTCTCATAATGCAGGGAACAGGACGGTCAGCCCTCCATTTCTCTGCTGAGAGAGGAGATGCAGCCTTGACTCGAGCAGCCTGGCGTGGTCATGCCGATATTGTTGTGGAGCTAGTGAAAGCAGGAGCCAATTTGGACCTTCAGAGAAATGTATGAACAAATGTTTGATGTGTCAGAGAGACATGTTGATATGTCACACAGGATGGAGACTCAGCACTATTGGAGGCAGTTAAAAATGGTCACACTAATGTTGTTGTGGAGCTGGTGAAAGCAGGAGCCAAGTTGGACCTACAGAATAAGGTGTGAAACTACATTTAACCACTCCTACATGTATAGGTTGCACACTTAACCTGCATTATTGTAATGTTCTCTCATCTGTTTCCTAACTTTGTCTTTTTATTCTCAAACATTTGAGGCTGCATATGCGGTCATGCATTACAGGTTATCCTTTGTTGTGTCCATAGAAATAATAATTATGTCGAACAACATCAGATCAGCGAGGGCTAGGACCTGAGCTCAAGCTGGTCTTGCTAACAAGACCAACTCCAGCCAAAGCCTGTAACAGGGTGTCATTAGCATCCCCTTTGCACATTGCTTGTGTGCTGCTCCTTCCCTTTTTGAAACTTGAGTCAAAATCCACTTTCCGAAGCTACACTAGCACCTCTCAGACTCTCTTTGTCATAATCCGCTGAAATCTATTCTCATCTCTCCACAGGATGGAGACACAGCAGTCATAATAGCTGTAAAGAGATGTAAACCAGTCACTCTGAGGGAGCTAGTGAGGGCAGGGAGTGACCTCAACCTCCAGAACCAGGTGAGATACACAGTTACTGTGGACACTGCACCACATATCATCCCCAGTCCTCCATATTAGGAGGGACTCACTCCACTAATGATAGCTGCCAGGAGTCGGAACAGTCATATTATGACTAACATTCTACTGGAGGGAGAACACATCAACCTGGACATTCGGGAGAAGGTGAGCACCCACAGAGCAATGGGCAGAGCCAACTGTTTATGGCTGCCACCTAAGTTGCTGTAACTAATCTCTCGTAATACAGAGAACAGGATGGTCAGCTCTCCACTTCTCGGTTGAGAGAGGAGATGCAGCTACCACAGAAGCACTGCTCAAGGCAGGAGCTAATCCTCACCTCAAAGACAAGGTTTGGGAATCTACAACAACCCTTACTTTCTCCTCCACGAGCCCACCTACTCCATTTTAATTTCACGGCGTGGTTAAGGTGCCTTTTTAGACATGTATATATTGGTTTACTGATGAGGACACGCAGAGTCCTACCTCATGAGGGGGACTCACATGTCACAGAAAAGTTACTAGCCACTTTCACCACAGATAGAATTGTCATGGCAACGCATGTTTGCATGCATAATAAGATGAGGTTAGATAAAGAAGAAGGTAAACATATCTCATCGAAGCTTTTCTGGTAACGTACATGATTATTAATCAACTATAGTCTATAATACTGCTATAATCTTCGTTTCGATATATATTTTCACACAGCCACTATTGTGTACTTATAATTATTTGCTACAAACATGTCCTTTTATCACACAGGATGGTGACTCTGCCTTGACTCTAGCAGCCAGGTGTGGAGACGCTGATATTATTGTGGAGCTGGTGAAAGCAGGAGCCAACTTGGACCTACAGAATAAGGTGCAAAACTACATTAGCCACTTATTGCCCCACGAAAGATTAGATTTCAACATACAAGGATTATACCTTACTTAAAAAAGCACTGAAGTACATACAAACCCTCGGCGAACTGTGCATGCGTGACACCGCTAATTGATGGGCTGGGCCAGCCATTTATATGTGTTTACTTGTTGTGTCTGACACGGGCTAGCTACAGTAGTAGATAACATGAGGGAGTCGATACATGCCCTTCGTTGTGACTTCTTGAGCCCCCAAGGTACACAGAGCGAGCGGATCAGGTCGCGGTAAGTCAATTGCAATTGGCTTTTTCGCTTGTTTTCACAGCATAATTATCTCTCGAACGCAGTCGATTCAGGAAAATCGCCCTTTTGTTTTTCAGGCTCGCGTAGTTCTGAAGCTGCTGGTATCGCTAATAGGCCGCCTCGTATAGCCAGAATAAGCGTCGACACACAGACATACAAACCAACTACTGTAACCCTCGCTGTGCATGCGCGCCGAGGGTTAATAATGGCCACACAGACTCTTAATAGACTTGAAATCCTCCGGTCACAACTTATTTTGATATAAAGCCTGTTCTATGGTGTCCTTATTTATTACACACGTATCGTTTTATCACACAGGACGGTGACTCTGCCTTGACTCTAGCAGCCAGGTGTGGAGCCACTAATGTTGTTGTGGAGCTGGTGAAAGCAGGAACCAAATTGGACCTTCAGAATAAGGTGCAAAACTACATTAGCCACTTATTGCCCCACGAAAGATTAGATTTCAACATACAAGGATTATACCTTACTTAAAAAAGCACTGAAGTACATACAAACCCTCGGCGAACTGTGCATGCGTGACACCGCTAATGATGGGCTGGGCCAGCCATTTATATGTGTTTACTTGTTGTGTCTGACACGGGCTAGCTACAGTAGTAGATAGCATGAGGGAGTCGATACATGCCCTTCGTTGTGACTTCTTGAGCCCCCAAGGTACACAGAGCGAGCGGATCAGGTCGCGGTAAGTCAATTGCAATTGGCTTTTTCGCTTGTTTTCACAGCATAATTATCTCTCGAACGCAGTCGATTCAGGAAAATCGCCCTTTTGTTTTTCAGGCTCGCGTAGTTCTGAAGCTGCTGGTATCGCTAATAGGCCGCCTCGTATAGCCAGAATAAGCGTCGACACACAGACATACAAACCAACTACTGTAACCCTCGCTGTGCATGCGCGCCGAGGGTTAATAATGGCCACACAGACTCTTAATAGACTTGAAATCCTCCGGTCACAACTTATTTTGATATAAAGCCTGTTCTATGGTGTCCTTATTTATTACACACGTATCGTTTTATCACACAGGACGGTGACTCTGCCTTGACTCTAGCAGCCAGGTGTGGAGCCACTAATGTTGTTGTGGAGCTGGTGAAAGCAGGAACCAAATTGGACCTTCAGAATAAGGTGCAAAACTACATTAGCCACTTATTGCCCCACGAAAGATTAGATTTCAACATACAAGGATTATACCTTACTTAAAAAAGCACTGAAGTACATACAAACCCTCGGCGAACTGTGCATGCGTGACACCGCTAATTGATGGGCTGGGCCAGCCATTTATATGTGTTTACTTGTTGTGTCTGACACGGGCTAGCTACAGTAGTAGATAGCATGAGGGAGTCGATACATGCCCTTCGTTGTGACTTCTTGAGCCCCCAAGGTACACAGGGCGAGCAGATCGGGTCACGGTAAGTCAATTGCATATTGGCTTTTTCTGTTTTCACGGCATATCTCTTGAACGCAGTCGTGTCAGGAAAACTGCTCTTTTGTTTTTCAGGCTCGCGTAGTTCTGAAGTGGCTGGTATCGCTAATAGGCCGCCTCGTATAGCCAGAATAAGCGTCGACACACAGACATACAAACCAACTACTGTAACCCTCGCTGTGCATGCGCGCCGAAGGTTAATAATGGCCACACAGACTCTTAATAGACTTGAAATCCTCCTGCCACAACTTATTTTGATATAAAGCCTGTTCTATGGTGTCCTTATTTATTACACACGTATCGTTTTATCACACAGGACGGTGACTCTGCCTTGACTCTAGCAGCCAGGTGTGGAGCCGCTAGTATTGTGTACCAGCTGGTGAAAGCAGGAACCAAATTGGACCTTCAGAATAAGGTGCAAAACTACATTAGCCACTTTTTGCCCCACGAAAGATTAGATTTCAACATACAAGGATTATACCTTACTTAAAAAAGCACTGAAGTACATACAAACCCTCGGCGAACTGTGCATGCGTGACACCGCTAATTGATGGGCTGGGCCAGCCATTTATATGTGTTTACTTGTTGTGTCTGACACGGGCTAGCTACAGTAGTAGATAGCATGAGGGAGTCGATACATGCCCTTCGTTGTGACTTCTTGAGCCCCCAAGGTACACAGGGCGAGCAGATCGGGTCACGGTAAGTCAATTGCATATTGGCTTTTTCTGTTTTCACGGCATATCTCTTGAACGCAGTCGTGTCAGGAAAACTGCCCTTTTGTTTTTCAGGCTCGCGTAGTTCTGAAGTGGCTGGTATCGCTAATAGGCCGCCTCGTATAGCCAGAATAAGCGTCGACACACAGACATACAAACCAACTACTGTAACCCTCGCTGTGCATGCGCGCCGAGGGTTAATAATGGCCACACAGACTCTTAATAGACTTGAAATCCTCCGGTCACAACTTATTTTGATATAAAGCCTGTTCTATGGTGTCCTTATTTATTACACACGTATCGTTTTATCACACAGGACGGTGACTCTGCCTTGACTCTAGCAGCCTGGTGTGGTCACACTGATGTTGTTGTGGAGCTGGTGAAAGCAGGAGCCAAATTGGACCTACAGAATAAGGTGCAAAACTACATTTAACAACTCCACACTTAACCTGCATTATTGTCCGTTTCCTAACTTTGTCCTTTTATCCTCAAACATTTGAGGCTGCATATGTGGTCATGCATTACAGATTATCATTTGTTGTGTCCATAGAAATAATAATTATGTGGAAGAACATCAGATAGGACCTGGTCTCAAGCTACTCCAGCCAAAGCCTGTAACAGGGTGTCATTAGCATCCCCTTTGCACATTGCTTGTGTGCTGCTCCTTCCCTTTTTGAAACTTGAGTCAAAATCCACTTTCCAAAGCTACACTTGCACCTCTCAGACCCTCTTTGTCATAATCTGTGGAAATCTATTCTCATCTCTCCACAGAATGGAGACACAGCAGTCATAATGGCTGTAAAGAGACATGAACCAGCCACTCTGAGGGAGCTAGTGAGGGCAGGGAGTGACCTCAACCTCCAGAACCAGGTGAGATACACAGTTACTGTGGACACTGCACCACATATCATCCCCAGTCCTCCATATTAGGAGGGACTCACTCCACTAATGATAGCTGCCAGGAGTTGGAACAGTGATATTACTAAGATTCTACTGGAGGGAGAACACATTGACTTGGACATTCAGGAGAAGGTGAGCACCCACAGAGCAATGGGTGCCACCTGAGTTGCTGTAACTACTCTCTCATAATGCAGGGAACAGGACAGTCAGCCCTCCACTTCTCTGTTGAGAGAGGAGACTCAGCTACCACAGAAGCACTGCTCAAGGCAGGAGCTAATCCTCACCTCAAAGACAAGGTTTGGGAATCTAGTAAAACCTAAGCTTACTCTCTCCTCCACGAGCCCACCTAGTCCATTTTAGTTTTACAGTGTGGTTAAGGTGCCTTTTTAAACATGTACCTTGTCACTAAGTACGGTAGTATACTTAGTATAACAAGTAAGTGACCTCAACCTCCAGAACCAGGTGAGATACACAGTTACTGTGGACACTGCACCACATATCATCCCCAGTCCTCCATATTAGGAGGGACTCACTCCACTAATGATAGCTGCCAGGAGTTGGAAAACTGACATTACTAACATTCTACTGGAGGGAGAACACATCAACCTGGACATTCAGGAGAAGGTGAGCACCCACAGAGCAATGGGCGGAGCAACTGTCTATGGCTGCACCTAAGTTGCTGTAACTACTCTCTCATAATACAGAGAACAGGATGGTCAGCTCTCCACTTCTCTGCTGAGAGAGGAGACTGCAGCTACCACAGAAGCACTGCTCAAGGCAGGAGCTAATCCTCACCTCAAAGACAAGGTCTAGGAATCTAGTATATACAACCTAAGCTTACTCTATCCTCCACAAGCCCACCCATTTTAGTTTTACGATGTGGTTAAGGTGCCTTTTTAGACATGTATATATTGGTTTACTGATGAGGACACGCAGAGTCCTACCTCATGAGGGGGACTCCATGTCACAGAAAAGTACTAGCCACTTTCACCACAGATAGAAT